TTAATATCAAAAATAATTTTTTAAAAATAAAAAAATATTATTTTAATATATTTTAAAATAAAAAAATATTTTAAAAAACAACTATAAACACACTTAAAAATAGATATAAAAATAATGTTTCTGCTGCTCGTGTTTTATATTTTTAGTTGTGAATTCCATTACAAAAAGTAAAAACATAAACTTAGACAAATACATTTTAAGTCTTCAAAATATCTTTTTTTATGTATTATTATGTGCTCCGTATTTTTAGAATCACCGTAACAATTTTTATCACGGTATGCCCCGATTTGTAATTTTTTACTAATATACGTGCCCTAGAAACGTAAAATCAATCTGCTCTCCAACGGTAATTTTTTACCAATATATGTGCCCTAAAAACGTAAAATATACACAACTAATATGTGCGTGTCAATTGTTACAAAATCGAAGTGTAAAAAATCACAGTTATTACATCAGATTCAAGATTCAGGTTACAAAGCAGGTAAAACTTAAAAAAAAAAGAGAGAGAGAGAGTAAAAACTACATTGTTTTTTTTATAAAAAAAATCAAATCAAATTTTATATTAGATCACAGCAAACCATCTTCCCTTTTTATTTTCTTATGGAACCTCTCCTAACCTGCTTGTTGACTCGAGCTGGGTTTAATATCGGTGTTCGAAGACACTTGAGACAACTAGTGATCCAACACTATACATACAGAAAGCCGCCAGCCAAAGTGATTGATGTCAGGCAGAAATGCGAGGACAGGATTCAAATACAGAATTATCTGCACTTAAAGCTAAAAGACGAGACCTTCGTTTTTTATAAGCTTGATGCAATCGTGTTAATTCACGTATCTTAAGAATCACGTGATGAGGTAAAGAAACAGTAAGAATATACATACTTTAATGTGAAAGGCTTCTTAACATTTTGCTAAAAAACCAGAAAAGTAACCTCGTGTGTGTGAGATAATGGTTTCTCATTGATGATCATGGGCCGCCATCATCCCTCTTTATAGCTTTTGAACACCAAATTCAACTATATCTTCTTATTTAATCAACATTTTAGACTAGTTGTTCACATTCTTGTTTTTTTTTCTAATTCAGATCTGAAATGGTAATGTTTAAAACATGCTCAAGTGAAGAAGATAGCATTTTCTACAAAACTACAATGAAATGATTCTTGGGTCAATAGGGTTTTTATAGTGGGAAGTGTAAAGGTCACTAGGAAATGATTGGTCAAGTTCTTAGCACTCTTCCATTGCTGCAACTAGAGTTGACGAATAATCACACTTGCTTAACTTTCTTCTTTATTGCCATTATAAGATCCACTAAGGCTTTCTGGTTACGCAAGGCATCAATCTTTCTCTTGATTTATCTACATCCATGTCAAAGTAAAATTTAATTTCATGATCTTCAGGTGACGAGATCAACCCAGAATAAACTAATCAAATCAACCCAGAACAAATATTAAAAAAAAAACAATCATGCCCTGTATTATGAAATACAGATCTTATAATTTTTTTTTGTTTTGTTTTTTTGTAAGAGAATCCATGTTTTTTTTATATATATATATAGTGATAAAATCCAAGATCTTGTTGTATGAAAACAAGAACATATCTATGATCTAGGACTAAAAAGATACGTCTCCTTATTCTAAAATCAATCCCAGAGATATTCCTTGGTTAGTAAAAATAAAAGCAAGCCCACAAGCTCTGTGCAGTAATGTCATAGACAATGAGCATATGCTGCATAAGACCGATGCAAAAGGCCACACCGTTAATTATCAATCTAATTCAAGTAAGGATAAAAAAGCAGCCACCAAAACAGTAACAGATAAATTAATCACGTATTTTACGATCTTACACCAGAAGCATATACCGTCAATCTCCATACAAAACATTCCGAGTTGTTCGGCCAATCCGCCAAACTGCAATTAAAAGAATGTTTTGTATTGTAATAATGTTTATTTTTTTAAGTGTCTTTTTGTTTGAAAATATATATTAAAATAATACTTTTTATTTTTAACACCAACCCATTAAAACACAAAAACCAACAAAATCTTCTAGCTATTCAAGCATTTCTTGCCAACTTCGACGCCGTGGAATGATTTAAACTCCCTCATGTAAATTGAGAAGAAAATGATTTAAACTCCTCCTGCTCTCTGCAATAAAATAAGAGATTAAAAAAACAAAAAAAAAAAAACAAAAACAAACACTCAATGTCGCCTGACATTATCAATAAAGAAAAGAAGAAAGAAAGAAAGAAGTCCTCGAAGCCAATCGTATTTTATGGCCTCCCTCGCGGGCAATGAACATGAAGGGATTCTCTTTTGTGCTAGCTAATAATAAATAAATAAATAAACAAATCGTTTTCAATTAGACTTGCAGTACAAAAAGGTTCGAGCAATGTCTTCTTCTGGTCAATGGCTCACAGGGAGACTAAATATGATCCAAAGATCTCATCTCGGGTGATGCAAATCGCACACCTTATATAAAATACATGAAAAAAATATATATTTTGGTGTGCCAACCTCATCATGTATATAAAAAAATCTACAAGTAAATCAACTACTTAAAAAACTTTGATTTTTCTTTTATCTTTGCAAATTAAAACTTTTAAGATTTAAAATCTACACTTCAAGGACTTTACCCTACATCTTGCTAAGAGATCAATGAAAAGTATACTCTAATATTTAAAGGCAAAAAAAAAAAAAATCATCTAGAACAAGTAGACAATTCAACACGAGCTAATGCATGATTCCCGGGTCCTCGGTCGGACCAATTTTGGCCACTTTGGTCTGGTTTTGGACTGTTCGTGTTGAGCAGGTCGGCCCGAGCGCGGCTACTTGGGCCTGGAGGGTTAAATATGTCAAAAGACACTTTCCGCGTGCTTACCATTAATGATTGTAAGGGATCTAGCCCCCTCTGTTTTGTGATATTTGCAAACAAGGCCTCATAACCGATTCACCACGAACCACCCATAAAAGGAGATAATCTCAATCACGCCAGCGTGATAATTAACTCACCCTTGCTTCGGCCAAGTGACAATTATCAGAGCTGGTTAATTATGATGTTGGAAGCATATATATTATTAGATTAATTGGGTTATAAGCCAAAAGTAAATTTATGTTTTGATTTAATTCATCTAAGTCGATCTAAAAACGTTATTATTTTAAAAATCAAAATGATTTTATTTTTTAATTTTTTTGATAAAAAAATTTAATTAAATTATACTCAAAATTTAATTAAATTGATTGGGTTACATGCAAAAAAATATTTGATATTTAATTGTGTCCTTTTCTATTTAATTTAATATGAAACTTACCTAATTTCAAGAGTTTCATATATTAAACAAATGCTTTTTTAAAAAAATTTATTTTTTATTTACTTCAAATTAATATATTTTTAGTATTTTCAAATCATTTTGATGTGCTGATGTCAAAAATATTTTTTTTAAAATAAAAAAAATCATTGACATAAATTATGATATGAAAAGTTATTTGAAAAACAATCACAATCACAATCACACTACCAAACAAGCTTGAAATCAAGTGAAGAGACTACTGTTTAAATTATCGAACCAGAAAACTGCTAAAAAATCATGAATTCAAGTAATTTTTTGGTTTTTAAATTTTAAAAATGTTTTTAAAAAAATTAAAAAAATTTATTATTTTTTTAAATTAATATTTTTTTGATATTTTTAAATTATTTTAATATACTAATATCAAAAATAAATTTTAAATAATAAAAAATATTATTATAATATATTTATAAATAAAAAATATTTTAAAAAATAACAACAATACGACATCCAAACAATCCAATCCAGAAATGAAAACGAGAGAGACTAACTGCAAAGGACCAACGGTCAAGGGGCATACAAACAAATAACAAATAGACAAGGGGCTGGATGGTGAAAGAAAAGATGCACTAAACTATAATAATTATTTGTAGTGGGATCTTTTAATCTTTAATGTCACTCGTTTTCTCCCGTCTCTCTCTCTCTTCAATTTCCTTTCTGCCTTCTCTCTTTTTCTGCTCTCTCCATGTGGCTCTAAACTAGTCTTCCGTCACTACTATTTCCTAGCTGCTTCCTCTCTCGTTTTTCTCTCTTCCACAGCATTATTCCCCCATCTCTTCCTTCTTTTCATGTGATCAGTAAGTTCTCTTTTCTGTACTTATATTTTTTCTGTGTAATTGATGGTACTGGCTGCTTTGCATTTCTTCTTTTGTGTTTTTGATCGGCCCAGATGGAGATGAGTGTGGATGTGTTTGTTTTTGGATGTAATGTTAAGTCCTTTAAGGTGTATAGAGTTTGGATTTGCTGGATTTTGGGTGGTCTGGATTGTGGGTATTTCATTTTTGGTGTTTTAAGCTGAGGTTGATAGTGTAAAGTTTTTTTCTCTGGTGTAGCTATGTGTTAAGGTTGTCATTTTTGTTTATGACTTTTGCATTTTTTTCCTGTTACAAATTTCTATTTTTAGTCCGTGTTTCTTGTGAAAGCACTTGATGCTCTTGCAACCCCCCCTCCCCCGTCTTTTTTTTGCTGATTATTACTAAATTTATGGTCTTGAATTCATTTTTTTAATGATTTGTTGATTTTAGTAATTGAGAGAGATTTGTTATTAGGAGTTAGGTGGATCCTATAAATTTTAAAGGAGAATTGTAGAGGATCAAGTTGTATAATTTTTCTCTGTCTATCAGCTGCATGAAGGTTAAAATCTATTGGTTTCAGGAAAATGGAATTCTCAGATTCATGATCGGGGAAAATAATTTTAAAAAAAATATTCTGTGACGCCATTGAGAGAGCGAATGATTGATTCAATCCTTGTTTTTCAGTAGAAAATAGTTTTTTTATTCCATTTATTTTTGAGTTAGTGTTACTGAAAGTTATTTTGTTATTGTTATCGGCTATTAATTGAATTGATCCATCAGGACACGTTGGTAGATAGTATCTATAAATCCAATTGATTTGGTGTGCGTTTTGGCTTATTGTTCTTTTTTTATTGCTTTTTTTTTATTTGGCAGACTCTCTGGGTAAGAGATGGTTGCAGAATCTTGGTTTCGTAATCTGTGGAAGATTCCACAGAAGCATGAACCTGGTCCTCAGAAGCAAGTTGTTGGAGTTTTGGCTTTTGAAGTTACAAGCTTGATGTCTAAGCTAGTTCATCTTTGGCATTCATTGAGTGATAAACAGGTTGCTAGGTTGAGAGAAGAGATCGAGAGTTCTGAGGGTATAAAAAAGCTTATTTCTGAGGATGAGGATTTCATTGGTCGTCTGATTTGTTTGGAGATGATGGAAAGTATGGTACATGTTGCAAAGCCTGTGGCCAGAATAGGGAATAAATGCAGTGATCCTAGCTTGAAGGGCTTTGAGCATCTTTTTGATGAAATGATCAAGATTCATGCTGACCCATATGGGTGGGGATTTTCATGGAAAAAGATGGATAAGAAAGTTAAGAAGATGGAGCGGTTTATTTCGGTTAATTCTACTCTGTACCAAGAGATGGAAATGCTTTCTGATCTCGAACAGACTGTGAGGAGAATGAAGGGTAGCAATCCCGAGCCAAATAATTTACTTGACTATCAGAAGAAACTTGTATGGAAGCAGCATGAAGTGAGGAATCTGAAGGAGATCTCACTCTGGAATAAGACTTATGATTATACAGTTCGCCTTTTAGTAAGATCATTATTCACTATATATAGAAGAATCAGCCATGTGTTCGGGATTAATTCAACTGTTCACCCTGGGGAATCAAAAGCTCTGGATTCTGATTATTTTTATCGTAGCCAGTCAGTTTCTGCTTTGCTGCAGTCTTCAGTTCATCCATCTGAGAAAAGTACTCTTCCTAGATTTTCTTCTGGCCCCCTTGGTAAGTTCACTGCAAATTCTGGCCCAATTTTGAAATCCAGCAAAAATAATTTCTATTCAGGTCCTCTTGGCGGCTCAATCGCGAAGTCAGGCCCTATTTCTGGAAAAAACAGGAACTTCAACTTCTTTTCTGGTCCACTTGGGGGACCAACTACAAAGTCGGGTCCAATTTCTGGAATAACTAAAACTGGCAAGAAGTCTTGGTGGACTCCTCAATCACCTGCCTTTCTGGGAAGGAAACCACCTTCAAAACCAAATCGGTTGACTCAAGTGGGGCCTTTTAAGGGATGCATGGTAGCTTCAAACACTTCTCCTGTTGCCAATTGCTACTTAAGTTCTGCTGATGTTCATTCTAGGAACCTCAAGGGAGCCAAGGAAAGTGATGCTGACCATCTTCCTCTGGGAAACGTAAGTCGTACTGGTCCATCAATCTTCAGTTCACAGCATAAGTTGTTGCAAGCTCTTCCAGAAACCCTTGGTGCTGCTGCTTTAGCATTGCACTATGCAAATGTTATTGTTGTAATTGAGAAGCTAGCTGCGTCTCCTCACTTGATTGGCCATGATGCTAGAGATGACTTGTACAATATGTTACCTGCAAGGGTGAGAGCTGCTCTGAGGGAAAGGCTAAAGCCATACTCCAAGAGCTTGGACTCACCAGTATATGATACTGTGCTTGCAGGAGAGTGGACCGATGCAATGACATCAATATTAGAATGGTTGGCTCCACTTGCTCATAATATGATTAGATGGCAGTCGGAGCGAAGTTATGAGCAACAAACGTTTGTCTCTAGGACAAATGTGCTTCTGGTACAGACTCTTTACTTTGCCAATCAAGAAAAGACAGAATCTGCAATAACTGAGCTGCTGGTTGGTCTGAATTACATTTGGAGGTTTGGGCGAGAACTCAATACGAAGGCCTTGCAGGAGTGTGCTAGCAGCAGGGTGTTTGATGAATACTTGGAGGTAGAGAAGTAACACTTTCTTCCACGCTGTGGCAATCATCAGCACAATCCAGTTACCTCACGTTAGACTGGATTTGATGTGGGCGAAGATTCTGGTAGGTCCAGAGGCATTTTAGGGTTACAAAATGAACGTCATTCATTGTCTTTCTGCTGGGGACATGGACACCATGCGTGATGGGTAGTTTGAGATTCAATATACTAGTTATATTTTTTCTTCTGTGAATGGAGGTCTTCCTCCTATCGCCAATGAAAAAGTTGTCTTCTATTCTCTTACTCATAGAGCTAGTTCAGCTTTATTAATCAAGCTGCTATCGAATGATTTGTAATTTCTGTACACTTGTCAGCAATACCTACCTATGTTAATTGTAAATTTACAACGTAAGGTTTTGGATCTTTGATAGATAGATGGTTGAGCATACTTGTGCTGTGGAGTACTACACTAGAAGTAACAAATTTTATTTTAGCATACTTGTGCTGTGGAGTACTACACTAGATGTAACAAATTTTGTTTTATTTTTCGCTGTGTGGTATTCTATGTTGATGTGTAAATCACCTTTCCAAATCACCTTTCCAGCTGCAATTTCTGATCCAAATTTTCACCTGAACATGCTAGTTTGTGGCATTTTCAAGTTTTTCAATCATCAATACAGTTCATGCTCTGGGGGAAATTAGTATGAGATTCTCTGATAGGTATTAAGCACATTGCTTCTCCTCCGAGACAGCATACTATATGCAACCTTTGGGGTCTTTTCATGACTGTCAATCTTTTCCTGTATAATTTGTGTGCTCGACTGCATGTCTAGGTCCTCCTATTATTCCTCACAATTCTTTGTGATTACTGGTTCATTTTCGGTCGGTTCTCGTTGCAGTTCCTGTTTTCTACCATGCTGACATCATGCTTGTAGACACTTGGATTTACACACTGTAAACGGTAATTTTGATCCGTCAATTAGCTTTTTTTGGAGTGTTGATGATGGTATACGCTCGACACTTCAGCTGACAATACGAACGTAAATGGTATCTTTTAAAATCCAAATAAGAAAATGTTTTGTGTTGAATAAATAACATGAGTAATGTAAGTTTTTTTTTGTAATTTTTCCTCACCAACTTGCGCATTGTTTTACAAACATGCCTTCGTGCTCAACTCCTGCCAAGCAGGGTTTGTGTTTTTTCGCTGGAGATCATATGAAATAAATTAGATAGGCGGTCTAATATTGGATTGAAACAAAAGTTGAATTATTTCTCTCGATAAGTTTTTTTGCCACGGGCTTCTCACGTGTATTATTTAATTATATATTTGATGTTTTTTCCTGAATTTTTATAAATTGATTTAATAATTAACAGTTAGGAAATAAAAAATCATAAAATGTATATTACTAACCCTAATTAAGGCCCATTTTGGTAATTGCTTAAATTTTCATATATAATATTTTTTATTTTTTATTTTAATTACATGTGAAGTGAATAGAAATTTAGAATAGAGGCATAGATAAAAAAATATATATATATGAATCATGTTGTTAAATGAGTCTTTTTAATATAAGGAACAATTATAAATATAAATATTTTCATTTAAAGTAGTTGAAGATAACGTAAGTTAATAATTAAGAGTCTCGTGTGAAAAAAAAAACAAATATCCAATCTTTTTTTAAATTTTGATATAATTTTATTATTTATGGACTTTAATTACATGTGACGGGGATAAATAATTTACAAGTCATTGTTTTAAACTATAGTTTAACATATGGGTGAGGGGTGATAAAGAAACTTATTTAGTATCATTTGTAGTTTTATTCGATGTACAAATAATAACATTTGGAAAAACGAGATTAAACTATATTTTAAGAAGTGTATTTATGTGTTGTTCTATTTTCTAACAAGGGAAGGTTTGAATTTACATATTAGTATTAGTAAATATTTTATTGTCATATAAAAAAATATTTTTTTTATATAGAGTTAAGTATTCTTAAGACACTATGCTTAATAATTATAAATAAATTACTTTTAGTATATGTGATGGTTGATAAAATTTAAGAATATTTTTATCAAATCAAATGTTTTGCTTTAAACTTTGCGCCTTTATGTATTACGATACCCTCGTAACTAACGAAAGCTAAATAAGTTAATCGATTATTTTTATATTTTAATTAAATAAAAAAACAAAAAGAGAAGGGTGCTTGAAGCAACACAGTACTCCTTCTTTCTACTTTATCCAGCGGTATTTGTTTTTTATACGCATGTATATTAAATATTAATTGTTAAACCTAAAGACAAACAAACGGGGATAATATGTCTCTATTCATTTTCTTTGAACGGTTAGTACGCCCATACTTCTACGTCTCTTTCCAGAACACTCTCAAACTCGCTTTCTCAACGGTTCGCCGCATGTCCGCGCCACGGCGATCAACGTCGCTCAGAGACTCTTTCTCCGATTCTGAGCGGATGGAAGGCACAGGTAGCTGGGACGACGCTCTCGACTGGTTCAAACTCGAGGTCCAAAACATCTCTCCCTCTCAAATTTCAATGCAGATAGGTTAAATTATTCATTATATTCTCTGGATTTAAATTATTCACCATATTCTCTCTTTCTTAGGTGCAGGATCCAGCGTCGCGCTCGGTCTCGCATCACGCTAATTACAAGTGCTTGCTTGAGGCAGAGGGTGTTCTTGTCGAGGTAGAATTTCTTCTTCCTTCCCTTTGATTTCTTTAAAATCTTGATTTTTTTCGTGATTTCTAATTCCTGGTTAGAGTTTCTTTTAGGAATTTTAGAATTCGAATACATATTACGCGTATGGAAAAGGAATCGAGGAATTTGATTCTTAGAACCAACCCTAGTTTGCTTGATATTATAGTTAAATTACTGTTAATGGCTTAAATGAAATAAAACTAGAACAATGTGCCCTTGCTAAAACTGGCTAGGGTTATTTACATGAATCTTTCTCCTCACTTTCTTCATATTTTGCCCGTTTGGGTAAATGGATCAAATCTTTATTTCAGGAACGCGGTGTTGTTCTTATCAATACTGACGAGGCAGGTACCTTGATAGTGACTAATTTCCGTCTTATTTTTCTGGTGAGTGGCGTGTTCTCTCGTTTTTGTCTATTCCTCGTGAAGTTTCTTTTATAGAATGATGGAATGGTACTGATTTCAATTCTGCAACGTATTTGTCATAATTTATTTAAGCATGTATGTTAGAAGAGATAAGGAATTGTGGTTGCATCACTGAAAATGATGTTGTGCATGCACAACAGAATACTGACTATATGTTGTTTTCTCTTCTCTTGTTCAAGAGTGAGGGAACGGAAAATATTATTGTGCTTGGCACAATTCCGCTAGCAACAATTGAGAAGTTCAGCAAAATGGTAAATTATTCTTGAACTAATGGATTTCTTTTCCTTCTCCTTCCATTTATTTATGGTACTGTTGGTGAGAAGTTTGTTTATTTCTACAGCTTGTGAGGTACACTTATGTATGGCAAATTCTTTTCGGTTTACACTGCTTGGTGTGCTGCTTTGAATCTTAACACTTTCCACTAAAATTTTCTTTTATCGAAAGAAGTTTTGGTTTGATACAGATTTTGTTGCTGTTTGTGTGCTGTATAAACTTTGTAATTTGGCTGTATTGTTTAAGCTCTCTGTTGTCATTCTCCTCAATTAACCGAGAGAACTTCTCCTTCAGTTCACACACTTGTTTCAACATCTTCACCCTTGCATTTGCATGTTGTCTTGTCCCAAATGGAATGCAGAACCCCTATTTCTGATTTTTCTGCATATTCTCTTTAGTCATTCATTTCTTCGTAGATGAGTTTTATACCTGATTCTCATGTTTTAATTGAGGCAATAATGTTTTGTCAAGTGTAGGCGTAGAACCCCTTTTCAACTTGGCAATGAACACCATGATTGGGTGTGTGTGTGTTGGGGGCGGGGCGGGGAGCACCAAGGGATGTTAAGTTAGAAAAGTGACAGGAGATGAAAGAGTGACTAATTTGTTAATTGAGTTATTTTATGTATTATAATGCTATGCCATGTGCCTCACTTTTTATTCAAAGATGATCTGATCCTTGAAAGAATGCCTCTGAAATGTAATCTTTACCTCTTACATGCAAACTATGTGGTGATGGCACACAGACAGAAAACATGGCAAAATAATGTTAGGATAATAGGTTGTATGCTACCTCACTTCCATCTGTGCATGAAATATTTAGGTTGAAAGATCTTATGCTAATGATCTGAAATGATGTCCCTGTTTCAATTCTTATCTTTTATTACTCAACTCAATTTAAGCCTCAACCCCAAATTACATGGGGTCAGCAACATGTATCCTTTTTACTATTCTGTTTTAGCATGTGCTAAACTTTATCCATGCTAGAAAATCGTCTCCATTACTTTTCTTTGGTTTTGATTGGCACCTGTTCAGCTTAATGAATATGGAATTGTTTTGGCTTGGCCACCCATAACACATGTTAATTGATTGTTGTTTTTTTCTTTTCTTATATTTGTTACTTTGTGGAATGTATGAAGGTTGTAAAAAATCAATTGGCCCCTCGTCATTCTGAGAAGACTCCATCACAGCAATTTCTCCAAGTCATTGGTATGCCCTTTGAAGTGTTTGTTTTACTATTTCTTAACATATTTTACCAGTTTATTATTTTTTTTGTGGGATTTACAATAGATTTGTAGTTTGTCGTTGGAAGATAGAACTTTGGGACATATTTGACATTTCTACGGGTAATGATGTTACTTTTATTTCACTTTGATGATTCAGAATTCAATCAATAAGTTAAATTTATGACAGTAATAGAGATGGTGGCAGATTCTGGAGGGGGTAATGTGGTTGTCTCCTAGTGAGGGTAGTTGCCAAAGAGGAAGTTTATAGATGCTGGTTAGCTTGATTGATAAAATTAGAGTATGTCTGTTGCATTAAGGCATGAGATTTTCAATATATATTTGTATTTCTGAACAAGCAAGGTTTCTTTGAAGCAGGCAGTTATCGGAACAATGGATCTGGGTATTGCTGTTTGCTAATGGTTTCTTTTGCTTTCTTTCCCTTGAATATTGTTGGTGATTGTTATTTTGATGGTATAATTAGCCCTGGTCCTCTTTAGTGAGAATGCTAATGGAATTATTGGTTCTTGTATTTTGCAGGGAAAGATATGAGAATTGTTGTTTTTGGTTTCCGGCCCAAAACAAAGCAGGTTAACTTTAGCTGCTATCTCTTCTTGCTTCAGCTCTTGTTTTTCCTCCAAACTATGATCACTTACAGATGGATTTTTTTTTTTCATTTGCAAGATTTATGCTGTTATAAAGAAATATGGAGTTCATGATTTTGATTTTTGCTTGGTTGGGGGTTAAAGAGATGTAGTTGAGATTGAGAATAATCTTCTGATCTGCCTATGTTTTTAATTTTTTTTGGGGGCTAAGAATCAGAAATCAGGGATTTTGAGGGTTTATATTTTAAAATCAACTGAGGAAAGATTTGATTGGATGGGTTCAAAATGGATCGAAAGATTTGATTGGATGGGTTCAAAATGGTGGATTGGGCCATCACACCTGACATGTTTTAAGTTAATTGCCTTTTTGTATGCAGAGACGGGCTATATATGATGGGTTATTGAGGTGCACAAAACCATCAAGACTCTGGGATCTTTATGCTTTTAGCTGTGGACCGTTCAAATTTACTAATGCAAACCCAAAAGTACGCTTGTTGAATGAGTATTTCCGTCTTCTAGGAAAAGGCCTTTGTAGGGCATCAATGGATATGATTGACAGTGGGTCATTTACAATGTCTAATGAGCTGTGGAGAATTTGTAATGTAAATTCCAACTACATAATGTGTCCAAGTTACCCTTTTGCCTTGATTGTTCCAAAATCAATCAGGTAAAACATTAAGATTCTTACTGCATTGTAAAATTGGGGAGAAGAGGGGAAAGTGAAAACATGTTGAGATCCTTACTTCCAGTTTGACTCGAAAATAGTTTTTTGTCTGGACTGACTCTTGCCGAAGATTTACAGCTAATAACCTTATATTTGTTACTAGTGATGAAGAAGTGATCCAGTCATCCAACTTTCGTTCCAAGGGTCGTTTACCTGTAGTTTCTTGGTGTCATCCCGGTATGAAAAATTGAAATTTAGTTATTTTGTTTATAACGAGTTGCATTATGATGTCTTGATGTGTGTGGCATTGTAGAAACTGGAGCAGTCCTTGCACGTTCATCCCAACCCTTAGTTGGTCTGATGATGAATATGAGGAGGTAGTTTGATCTGCCCACTTAATTTCCTTTCAATGAACTTAAAACACATTGCCATGCAAAAATTATGCCTTTTGTAGATACAGTGCTGGGATTTTGGTCTTCAATTGAAGTGCATTTATGATTGTGGCTACGGTGTTGCATGCCTTTCAAAACCTTTAGTCATATACAAAATAGTTATGGCATGATTGATGATAAATTTTAGCAAGGTGTTATTATTCTGCGGGTTTCAAATAATTTCATTAGAGATTGACTTTCTAATATTTAACATGAATAGAGATACCTTAAAATTCATGCAAGATATATTTTATTATCTAATTAGGCTGTTAAAACTCTAGCATATAGCATCCTGAACGTGATTTTAACAACAGTTTCCAAGCTAAAAGAACAAAAAATTTGAAATGCAAGCCCAAGATGGCTGCAATGATTGTCAAAATCTTTCATGGGTATGATTTTCGAATCATGGCCCAAAAAGTGCCAGACCATGTTGATTCTTTTACGCAATACCTGTTATTTGTTTTTGTTCCTGGGATCCATTGATATCTTATATTTTGAGGTTTGGAAGGTATGTACTTGATTTTCTTTTGCCATGTGTTGCTTGATATATGACTTATTCCCATCAATGTATATGCATGCAGCAACACAGATGAAAAGCTTGTTGCAGAACTTTGCTCTCATCTTGGTGGTGAGAAAAAAAGGCGGAGGTAGTTTTATTCAAATTGATACCTTTTGTTTTGGCTGAGCTGGTCTCATTGTTTGTGTTTTTCATGTTTGCACCATTATCTTTTTTATGTTCTAACTTGACTTTCTTAGTTGTTAAGAAGTATCTACACAGTCTTGCTATGTATTGCTCTTAATACCTTGGGTGATGAATTTTTTTGAAATGTATATCAATGTACCAAGTTTTGAAACCTCAATCATGATATTACTTCTCGTTCGCTTTTTTCTTAAAATGCAGTCCTTATAGTGATAGGATTCCAGTTTTGCATCTCATCTGGAAATGGCTGGAGAATGTTTGTTTTTAGGGTACTCTAAAATAGATTTGGTGTAGAGACTTGGCCCATAGCTTTGATGATCAAAGCAAGTGATTATGCGGCAAAGTGTTTAAATTTCTATCACTCATGGCTCACAGACAGGTATGGAGGAGACATTTCCCTTTTGAGGTGGGAAATCCTAATTAATGTACTGGGGCTGAAACCTTGAAACTTAGCTGTGAGTCTTTCGTTGAAATAGTGTGGCCTTTATTTTTATTTATGATTTCTTGTCAATGGCGCAAATTTTCCAAACAGTAGGTCTGGACCAAATGAGCACTTTTCTTGTTAGGTTCCTTATTGTCGTGTAACTCTGATTTCTCTTTTGATAAAAATGAAATTTGTTAATACACCTGAATTACACTCGTAATGCTCATTGATTGACATGACTTGCATTTTATGCTAGGCTATAGGCCAGTTGTTTCTTTAGATTTCATGTTCTCATTTCTTTGCTTATTCTTTCTTGCTCCGGTTTTAGTAAATGAATGTTTGTTAAAAAAAGTCACCTGTCTCCTTGTCCTCTCTCCTTTTTCCCCATTTCAGGTAGTTATATAATTGCTGAAGCAAAATCTCTGGAAAATGCCTGATTTTTGTGTTTTCTTTTCAGGAAATTATACATTGCTGATGCAAGACCTAGAAAAAATGTTTTAGCAAATGTCGCAATGGGAGGTGGCTCAGAATCATCATCCAACTATCTTCAATCTGAGGTTTGTCAGAGGTTTGAGTTGTCTAATTATGTATCTCATAGTCATCAACTTTGCTGCCTTATTTTCACTAATATCATATTCCTGTTTTTTATCTGTTATCAGGTAGTTTTCTTTGGGATAGACAACATACATTCTATGAGAGAGAGTCTTTCTCGGCTTAGGGACTACTTAGATGCTCATGGCACCACTTCATCAGATGGAACGCTATCACTCTTGGTTAGTCTATGAACATCAGGAATTTTAAAACTGGCTGCTTTGCCTGTTGAAAACTAGTACATTAGCATCAGATGTTATAAGCAGTTCTGTTGTTGGATAAGGTTTAACCTAGTACTGATTATATCAATTCTCAAAAGGCAGAAAATGATGGCATATTATTTTGTGCAACTTGAACATGCATCTATCCACTTGTCAAGTTTTTTGTAAACATAGTTGAGGCATTAGAAATTTTTCCTTGAGTAACATCAGACATGTGAACACATATTAACAGAAGTAATATGTGATGGTGTGTGGTATGTTTCCCAATTTTTTCCATCACTAAATGATTGGAATCGCCCTCTATGAATGGCACTGCTGTGTGATTCTCTGGCTTAAAGACTAGAATTTTCATGTTCAGTTCCCTGTGCTGTTGTGGGTGCATCTTCAATAGAAAAGCAAAAAGGAAAAGCTTCACTTTTATCAGTTATCTATCTGGTAGCAACTTCTACTTGGAGACAGCATCCTGTTCATTATATAGCTCTTATATAATGCAGACATCCTTGGGCCCTATGTGCTTGTCCAGTGATGCACACAGGCCAATATAATGAACTTAACCTTGACATCATTGCATCAATGATTTAATCTATAGTCAAAATTTAAATAAATAAATAAATAAATCTTCTCAAATGTGCTCCTCATGTTTAGCTGGGATTTTTTTTCAATTAATTTATAGCATTGATCTTTGACTGGTTACCTAATAGCTCTAAAACACTTGCTATGTTTCCTAGGCTTCGGAAACAATATGTTTCCAGTGGTTGTTAATATCTCTATTTTTTTCATACCATATTTCGCTTGCAGAGACATGGTGGTTGGAGCTGGGGTGGAGGCAATCTCAGCAATATGTCTGCCTCTGTTTCAACCCTCGGTGATAGTGGTTGGTTAATACATGTTCAAAGTGTCTTGGCTGGTTCAGCTTGGATTGCTGCTCGTGTTGCTTTGGAATCAGCATCAGTACTTGTACATTGCAGGTCAGATATCTTGACCCTGTGTCTTCTATTGATCTTTGTAACAACTGGAAAGAATCGTTTCTATTCTGTTGCCACTGTGATGAAACTTGAAGATTTTTAATGTGTGCTCATTATATGGCCTCTTTTTGCCCTTTTGATTTGTAATTTCCTTTTCAATGTGCTGTTAGTCTTCTTCTTCTTTTTTCTATTCGATGTGCTGATAATCTAACACAGAATCAAATATTAATTACATACACCTGCTTCGATTCCAAATCAGGCTTTCTTTTAGTAGATCTCACTTCTACCCTTCCTCACTGTGTAATCACATGGATAGAGCTTCTCATACTGATTAGCAGAAAAATTTTGGTCTTGTTGCCTAGCAGATTATGGTTTTATATGCGAACCTGGCAGGTCATTTGCCTGCTACCAGACTCATGGCCCACTGTTATTCTACTTTTTATCAGAGCAGAAAAAAGAATAGCTGAATCATCTAGGAAGCATTTCAGCTCAGCAAAATTTTCCGTCAGAAAAAAGTTGCCTTTCTTTCTGTTTTCAATTTCCTGCTTTTCTTTTAGAGCCTCTGCATGTGCTGAGTTCTTGTCTTTCATTCTATTTGTCTAGTGATGGATGGGATAGAACGACTCAGCTGGTTGCACTTGCTAATTTGTTGCTCGACCCATACTATCGGACATTCACAGGGTTTCAAGTATTTTCTTCAGCTATTGGACCCCTCTATTGGTCGTGTATTGTTCTTTTTATATGCTTAAGATGTGGCTTTACATTTGAACAACAAATTCTGGAATATCTTATTTCCATCCAGGCACTCATTGAAAAAGACTGGCTAGCATTTGGTCATCCATTTGCAGAGCGTGGGGGCATGCCAACTGTATCTGGAAGCAGCGATAGACCTCCTGATTTATCTAGGCAATCTTCTGTTGGGAGTTTTCCATTGCCACCCATGTGTCAGTCATCGGGATCATTTGCGCCTCCATCTTCTAGTCCTTCTCATGCACAGAACCAGCAATCGCCCATATTTTTGCAGGTTAATGTTGTTTTATGAATTTTCTTATTAACTGGATTTTAGGAATCAAGTACCAACTGGCTTTCATGATTATTATCATTGGCAATCCAAATCAGTAGGGATTACCATAGTAGTTGTGCCTCAAGCTCCTTGCGAACAAGTTCAACAATTGTTTGGCCCCCGTTCCTTTCTGTGTGATGAAAGCAGCAGTAAAAAATGATTACTTGGGTTTATTGTTGCATTTATGTGCCAAATGCATTAAAAAATTTATTGCCTTATGCTGGGGCATAAGCTAGAGATATGAGGGAAAGAGTGCGATCATAGGATCTTCAGGCAATTATAGGGTCTACTAGAAGGATTGGATTGAAGTTGAGTATGGTCGGAGTATTGTTAAGAAAGTTTACTTAAAAACCCTAAATAATAGTTATAATAATTACCTAGCTGTTTGAATGCCCTCTATTATATTCAGCCCAAGTAAATTTGGGAATTTGTTGTGTAAGATGGTCTTTGCTAAGTTCTATGAATTGCTGATGTATTCTGCAGTGGATTGATTGTGTTTCTCAATTATTGCGGATGTATCCCTTTGCTTTCGAGTTCTCCTCGGTATGTGATTTTCTTTTGTTGTAATGACACTCATTTTCTTGTTTTCATTAGAAACTAGTTGTTGAGACAAAATATGTTTCAAAGAAACTGATTTATCACAAACGTTTTGCTGACTGGTGTATTGTATGATGACTTAGGCTTTCCTGGTGGACTTATTGGACTGTGTCCTTTCATGTCGTTTTGGTAACTTCTTCTGCAACAGGTGATTCTGTTTTTCTTTTTAACTTGTACATATGAATATCTTAAATAGATTAAGGCCTGTGGTTTCTGCCATGCCTTCACTTGATCTGTCCATCTGTCCATACTACATGGATTAGCTGCTGATATATTTATTTTGGAGCAGTCAAGAACCTTAATTTTCAATCTCAATACTAGATTGGTTGCTAAAAATTGTAATATCTGGAGACAAGCATTGATTCAGCAAATCTTTGTGTAAACTAGAAACTAAGTGAAAGAAGAGCTGCTTAATTTCCTTTAATATTCAAGGGTGACATATCATCTTTGGACAGGAAAAATTGATGAAGTTAAAAATTTAGAAAAATTAAGATGAAAATGCATCAATGTCCCAAAATAGGCTACAACAAATATAATCTCTTGTGCCACAAGTGACCGACCTCTGTAGCAAACTCAGTGGTAAAAGGATTGCGCCGCGAATATTCAATCTCGCTGGACCTATCAACCCTTGTAGATGCACCGTACTGATTTATCCTGCCATTTATATCCCACATGATCAAAATGATGTCGAATGACATTGTTGCATCTTCTCACAAACACGTGATATATGTGTTGTCATTAGATATTTGTGGTATGCACTATCAGCTGTTGAATGTTTCTCTTTGCAATCTCTTCATCTTCCCTAAAATAAAGAGATGATCTAGTAGCTTTTTGTCTGTTGCATGTGATGCATTTATGTTGGAATGTCATATTCATGGGCATTAGGTTTTATAACAGTTCATTATTCTTTTCAAAGCTCAGTTCAAGTGGTCAACTCTTCTCCCTCTTGTCATAAAATTGGCAGTTCCTTAGCATAACAAGTGATGACACACAAATTCATGATCCTCGTGCGTATGCATGTTTTCTTGGCTACCGTTTCATATACTGACTGCATCATAAACCTCTTAGGCTGGATTAGAACTTGGTTCCTGTTTAAGGCTGACAAAGGGACAACTTTATGCATAAATGCTGAACATTAGGATACTGTGTCTGGAGAACCCTTTCTGTTTACTCTAACCTCTCCAGCATGTGATGGCTCCTTTTTGTTTTACTTCAATTATTTTGGAAGCATTAAAATTCCTCTTTCTGGGTGCTTAATGCAAATTTTCAGTGAGAGGGAAAGGCAGCAAGCTGGTATCTCTGAAGCTTGTGGGTGCTTGTGGGCTTATTTGGCTGATCTGCGTTCTTCAGAAGGAAGGTCTCATGTGCACTGTAACCCTTTTTACAGTCCTCTGAAACATAATTGTCCATTGTTACCTCCAGCGGCAGCCTTAGCTCCAACACTGTGGCCACAATTCCATCTTCGGTGGGCTTGTCCTTCAGAGGCCCAAGCTGGGGAGCTTGAAGCTCAATGTCGGATAATGTCTATAAAATTTTCCAAACTACAGAAGGTAATGAACTGCTTTCCTTCTACTGAACCATTACAATATTTTCACACTAAAATATGACCTTTTGCAGTCATGTAGGCCTATATGTTTTTTCCTACTGTTGGGTTATAGTATTATGTTCTTTCAGTCTCTCTCTTGCTGTCTTTGAGGGCATCATTATGCAGAAACCTAGTGACATATGGTCAGCGGTGGCTTACTTTTCCTTTCATTTTATTTCATGATGTTTTCAAGTCTCTGTTTTTTTAATGAAACCCCTACATCGTGTCAAATTAATAACCAGGCAAAAGAAGGGGCTGAGAAGAAAGCTGAAGAAACTGCAATTGTTGTGGAGTCATTGTCTGCAGAATTACAGAACGAGAAGCAGGTCAGTAGCTCCGCTATGGCCTTGGCCAAGAGGGCCAGCAAGGAAACTGCAGCCATAAAGCGAGCCATACAGTCATTGGGATGCAAAGTTCATTATGCTAGTAGTGGTGATACTACTGTTGATATCGAGACCAGCCCTGTGAAAATTTCACATAATTCTGTATTTTCTCCTTGTACAAGAGAATCTTTTGGTATTGTCCAACTTGAAGATAAGTCAGATCTGTCAGTTTCCATTTCAGTAGCAGGAGATGATGTTGTTTCCAATAATCCATTTGGTCGAGTGTGCGATACTTTATGCCCATTACGCACAAGAGATGGAGGCTGCAGGTGGCCAGATGCTGGTTGTGCTCAACTAGCTAGTCAGTTTATTGGGGTGAAAGCAGACTATGAGGCACTCGATAGTCTTTCAATATATGAAGGTTATTTTAAGACGGTGAGTATCTTATAACTCTATTATGTACACATTGATTTATCCATCAATTCTCCATATAATTGGTCGAGGTTTTTCATAGATGGAAGGAGGTAAATAGAGTTTAAAGCTTTGCCAGAAGAAGTTTGAGATTTATTTGAGCTCTCAAGCAACGCAGGCATAGGATTGGTGCCGAAACCTCAGATTTTGGTACCGGGACTGTTCATACAGAGAATGTAGAGTTAGCACAACACACCATTCATTGGAAACACAATAAGGAAATCTTGTTCCCACACAAGAGCATAAAAGAGCAAGCATGAAGTGCTGCAGTGAAGGCTGATTAATATCGAAGCTAGTTTTCTCTCTCAATAAGAACAGTTTAGCTTGTTGCGCAGGTTTTAAAGAAGCTGGTCAAACATTGTTTTTATCAGCAAGCATACGTGTACATGGCAATATCCACATAACGTGTGATTTTGTTCGTAATAAATTAATCACCATGTTCTGGTGTTGCCCATTTTTCTTCTAACAATGACTATAAATGAATAATCGTTATATACATAATGTGATGCCATCTCCCCTGCTGCTTTATGTTTATCGTCATGAAAAACAGAAAAATTTACGCAGGATACAACACTGGGAAGAAAATTATTTGTCACTGTGAAGCAGCCACGTGCATTCCACGTTCATCCAGCACCTGCCCGAGTAACCAAACCCTGGAAAGAGTGTGTATAGCAAAATCCTCCTGCCCGCCTAATTTATTGCAGGCAGCAGCTCGGAATTAATGCCAAATGGGTTTCGCCAATGCCAGTCTCGCTTGTGGGCTGGTGCCCATAATTAGATCATAGCTAAATGGTTTTGATGCATCATTTAACAAGCAGCAGTCTTCGAGGCGTAAGCAAGAATCCATATGCATTTAACCAATCCTTCCTGCTTGATCAATCAAGGTGCCAACTTGGTCTCCACAAAATGCTCTTGAGATATTCCCAGGCTCGAGCAAATTAAAGATGACCACTATACATGACCGGGAGAGAGCACGCAGCATTAGCTAGGTAAGATGTGGGGATGGGAGAATGCAACTATGCAAGAGAGGCTGATATAGCAACGAGCAAATGAGTGTAAGGAAATCATTACATACCAGGAATTCCATTCTCTTCACAGCAAGTCATTGCCATCATGTCCACTAAGGTAACACCCCTGGAAACAACCTCTCTGAATGATATGTGATCCAGTATTGCATTGCTGTTACCAGCATGATGATCATAGACACCATCAACATTGGTACCTTTAAGGAGCGCATCTGCATTAACTGATAACCCAAAAACATTTAAAAAAAAAACATGCATCAAGATTTCACCCCAAACAAACCTCCTAGTAAACAGATGAACACAAGATATAATAAAAGCAGGCAGGAGGGGAATACTCTCTGAAGCTCTCAGAGCTGCCGCGGTGTCAGTAGTGAATAGTGGATTTCCAGCACCAGCTCCACCAAATATGACAACTCTTCCTTTCTCAAGATGCCGGATGGCCCGTTGCCTGCTATAAGGTTCAGCTAACTCTGGCATTGCGAATGGACTTTGCACACGAGCCTGAACACCATGCTTCTCCAAAGCTGATTGAAGCAATATTGAATTCATAACTGTTGCCATCATGCTGACATTGCATCATAAGTTACCATATTGTCAAAAAACTAGCAATACATTAAGTTTAGGATGAAGACTACAAAGAAAGCTATAAGCTATTTATACAAGCTACCTGTAAAGGCGAACATAGATAATGTTCAAGCCCTAGGAGTATGGTGCTGCAATACAAGCTCAAGAAGTATGGTGAATTACCTGATTTGATACGCAGTAGGCCTCTCTAAACCAGTAGCAGATATCCACGAGTCTCCACAAAAGAAATTACGACCTCCAAGAACAATAGCAATCTACAAAAACCACATAAGAGGAAGGAATCTTGTAATTTGAATTAGCGTTGCAGAAAACCAACAAGGAAAAGGAATAGGGCAAGACCTCCAGTCCACCACGGCTAGCTGTTGCTACTTCCCGAGCAATCTGCATAGCTACCTAGAAATAAAAGAAGGCAATTTAACTTGCATATTCCCGATATCGTCAGTGTCCAAACATACTATAATCATCCAAATACTGAATCTTGCACCTTGGGATCAATATTCTGGCAATTCCCAGCCAGTGCAGAACCACTGATTTTAAACACCACTCTCCGCCATTTTGAATTTGGCACTGGTTTAGTTTTGAGACTATTAGCAAATGCAGCACTGCCAGATGTATACCTGCATATTTTGTTCACACAAAAGATCAGTCAATCGTAGCAAGATCCTCCAACACCATCTCATACCATTGCAGAACCACCTGGCTACTTTAACCGGAATCCAACAATCAAGTTTCGAAATCTGCATAATCAAGCATTGCCAAACAAACAAGAACACCTGTAAAAATCCAAACTTTCACAACCTGAACACAAGACCGAAACAAGACGCTACCTTTTAACTTGCTTAACCACCGCATTAACATTCCCACCACTCCCTCCACCACCGCCGCCATCACTCTCTCCACTACCACCACTCTTCCCATTACATGCATTCCCCATAATAGCCTCTATATGCTTAAACCAATGCCAACTGCTCCCACTCCCACTAATCCTCTGTAACTCCACTTTATACCTCTTCTTCAGATTATCAATCTTATTCTTACACTGCTCCACACTCTTCTTATTACTCCCTCCTCTCTCACTCACCACTTCCGCTACTTCCTCCCAATCCCTCCCTCTCAAATTCCCTCTATTCAACTGATTATACTTCTCCGTATACGCCTCTAACAAACACGATATCGCCGAATCACTCCATTCCTCTCTATCCTTCCTGTAATCACAAGATTCTATCTTCGTGATGCTGTTTGATTTCAATCTCTTGTTGTTGTAGTAGTAGTGGTTTTGCTGGTTGCGTTTTGAGGACGGTGTGGCCGCGGATTTGTCGTGATCGGAGTAGTAGTAATCACCGGTGGTTGTGACGGAGGTCGAATACGGGTGCCGCGTTGGAGGGTGAGGAGGTGGCTCGCCGATGAGTGGGAAATCGTCGTTGGCCATTGGAAATTAGGGTTAGGGTTAAGATTTCGATTTGGGGGTGAAGCAGATGATGTTAGGAAGACGACGTTAGAGGGACGGGTGACGGAGCGAGGGGTTAGGTTTTAGATGGGGGTTTGAATCACGGATGGTGTAACGGATCCGTTTAAACAAGAGAGTAAGTAACGTATGTGCTTAGAGTAGAGATTAAATAACACTTTTTGTTTTTTAAAATATTTTTTATTTAAAAATAGTTAAATTATGAAAACTAGAAATACTTTAAAACGTTAAATTATATATATATATATATGAGTTATTTTAAATCTGTTTTAAGTAGATTTCAATTAGAGGATATTTATATTTCAAATCTTATTATTAATTTTATATTCAACAATTTAAGTCTGATTTTGATATATATTTTTATTAACATGAATCAATTTATATATATTTTAACTAATCTTATATATTTTAAAATTATATTTTAATTAATCTTATATGTTCTAAAATTAATAATTATTCAAGTTTTTAGCAACATGAGGTGAGGTTTATAGTCAGGATTTGATTCTTGAGTCTATAATAAGAGGGTACTCATCTTAATTTTATATTTAATAATTTTAAAATATGAGAGATAAAAATTTAATAAATTAAAATTGCTTTTATTTTTATTATACAGTATATTATAAAGGTGGGATGATTACAATGAGAGAAACAGCAAGAAACCGTACAGCAGCAGCTAATTATCTTGAAAATGAGTTATACAAACTCCCTCGTCTTCGACGTTCCTCGGTACTCTTGTCTCCTGCGTTCCCTGAAATTTCCTAATTCCCTCCCCGTCAATGGCCTCGCTGGTCGCAAATTAGAAGGAAAAAAGAAAAAGAAAATGCCGACGGAAAATATACCACTGTTATTTATCTATGAAGATTACGACGGAAAATATTTATATGTAATTTTCAATGGAAACTGATGTGGAATAAAAAATAATAAAAATTCCTTTGATAATTTTATTGACATTTCTACCGTGTTAAATTACTGACAGAATCTTCACTTGTAATTTTAAAAGAAATCAAAACCTGACAATTGTCTTCTCCCAATCCTGCTTCTTAATTATGAAGACAACCCTCCTCTCTCTTCCATTTTAATCCCCATCAAACCGAGCCACCCATACCAACCAATCTCCATCCAGAAGTGTCAGCTTTACTCCATTGGTTTCATTTTTTATTAATAGCTAAATGAAAAATAATTAATTTTAAAATATTTTATCTCTTTTAAAAATATTATTTTTATATATTAAATAACTATTTCAATCTAAAATTTTAAATTACTAGATAAAATCTTAAAATATAATTTATTTAATTCTCTAATACCCCTAAAATGAATGAAAGCTTTTGAGCATAAAATTTACACTATTTAATTCTCTAATACCCCTAAAATGAAAGCTTTTGCGCATAAAATTTACACAAATTTATATTATTTTGTGTTTAATTTTTATCAAATAAATAAGAATCTCATATCATCTCAAAAAACCTTCTCAACCCAAAACTTAAATTATTAAATGAAATTTTAAAATATAATTTATATTATTTTTTAATATCGTATATTTTTTATAAAAATCAAAATCAATCAAACGGGACAACAAAAAAAATAAATTAATTATATGCAGCTATATGAAAAAAAAAATAACATCAAACTTATTAAAAAAATTAAAATATTTATTTTTTTATTTTAATGTAATTGGCTTTCCATATAGTTTTTTTTAGTGAAAAAAAAATATATAGTAAAATAAGCTATATTTAAAGTAGTATCTTCCTTTGAAGACGAGACGCTATAATCAATCTATGTTAAAGTCAATTTATTTATAGAATTTATAGTTTCAGTGTATATTATAGCTGTCAAAATGCAGGACAATTTTCCAAAGTTTCAATCTTTTTACATAGCTGTCAAAATGCACTTACGGTGAGTGTTCTACTTTGCAACATGGGAACAAATTTGTCTATGAATTCATAGTGAGCTTGGGGCACTTCAGCTTGTATTGTGCTTCGTGGAAGGAAAGCTGTGGTACGTGCGTTTTTCTTTTCCTTTCATCATAATTATTACTGGGAATTTATGTGATTGGTGATTTACTTTACATCATAATTAAATTTCCTGCAAGAAACTTTATCATCTATATGCATTTGAGAGTGTCTTGATCTTGGCATGTGGACGTTTTCAAATGTGTAATAATTAACTAGAAAATGTAAGCATTGTTGTTCATTTTTTTAATGCATTCGAGGAGATAGAAGTTCAGAAATTATTGCTGGCTCGAGTATGGTTACAGATCATTTAAAAAAAGAGAGAAGAAAATGTCGATGGACTATATAGTCTTTTCAATGCCGACAAAATAGTAAACAAATTTTCGACAACGATATTGGTATTATAAAATGCTGATGGAATCTTCACTGTATACCAATCGAATATTCCATCAGCATCTACTATTTTTCCAGCATTTTTTTCTTGCCTTGAACTTCCCCTCATGTGTATATATGTTGCTGCTTATTTTACTCTTGTTTCGGTCGGATAAGTTTTTTTTGTGAAAAATATAGATATATATTTTCAAATGTGTTTTTTTGTTAAAAAATATCTAATTATATATATAAAAAATCATATGCGTACATTTAAATAAATATACTGAGAATCATTTGTATCAATAAATACAATAAAAAAACAAAGTGTTAGTGTGATATAAGTACGAATCAAAAAGAGGATTGAATAATATTGCAATTGTTATAGAATTTTTTTTTTTAATTTTTGTATAATTGTTTTTCTAAAAATAATTTAAAAGTAAAAAAACAAATTAAATAAGAATAAAAAATATAAATAGTCAAAGTATAGAGTGATAAATATTCAAAGTTAAAAAAATAAGAAATAATATTTTTAAAAAAAATAAAAAACAAAGAAAAACTAAAAAAAATTATAAAAAACTATGATAAATAGACAAAGTGTAAGATGATAAAAATATAAAGTATTAAAAAAAATCTAAAATTATAATCTTTTTAACAAATACAATACACCACGGTAAAAATAATCTTTTTAACAAATACAATACACCACTGTAAAAAAAAAATAGAAAAATTTATAATTATCTTATTTTTATATAAAAACACAGTTTACTTTTAGCGTATGTATAATAAATATCAATGGAAATAAAAAGATTTTGCTGGTTTCAGTTTCCGTCATTGGTTTTGAGAGAACCGTGGGCGCGGGATTCTTCAGAGTTGTGGTGGTCTAGCGGGTAGAGCAAAATGGCGCACACGACGGGTGATGGAATGATTGTGATGATGGGTGATGGAGTGATTGTGATGATGGGTGATGGAGTGATTCCTGAGGGGGCCGCCGCCTGGGTGAAGTGGATTGTTCATGTATATCCATTATAATATAAGTCAAAATATTATTGTACATGTACTGGAAAAAAAAAAGTTTTGGAATGATATAATTATCAGTTTTTTTTTTAAGTAGTACTGGAATGATATAATTATCAGTTTTTTTTTTTTACTATAGTAGTATTGTAGCAATAGCAAAATTGTAATTTTTAGTTTATTTATAGAAACAAGTTTTTCTTGTATTTATATTTTTTTATTTTTTATTTTCTCTATTTATCTTTATTTTTCATGATTTTTTTTGTTTTTTATATTTTTTTAAAAAAATTATTATATAAAAATCAAGAAAATAGTGTTTCAATATAGCATTTATAATATTGTTTGATTTTTATACAACATTCAAGATAAGTTTGTGTTGTCTATGTTTTTATCAATACATATAATCTTTACTATACTTTATTACATGTAAGCATTGAATTTTTAATTCACAATTATATATTTTTTATTTTCTGTCAATACATATGTTAATAATATTTGTATATGAATTTATTTGTGTTAGAAAAAAATTATTTGATTTTCAGCTAGATAAGTAGAATCGACACATTAATATATATATATATATATATATTGCATTTATATGCAGATAATTTTTAATTTATTTAATTAAATACATATATGAGCTTTTTTATATTTATAATTAGATTTTTTAAAACAAATTTGAAAAGCTTGCATGTATATATTTTTTTTCAGAAAAAATATCCAACCTATATTAAATAACTAGCAATTATCTAAAAAAATATATGCGTTCATCCAAGTTTAGATATTCATTTATCAAATTTTGGTTTTATTATCACCCTCACCCTTTACATATAGTAATCTAGTAGCTTGTTGCAATTAGGTTGAATCAATGTCCCTATCCAATTCATAACTGAATTGGATTTTTGTTTTCCTTTGTAATATATTTTATATAATTGAAAATACGCACCTCTACTTTTTCAAGTTTATTATTAAAAAAGATAATGCTGGTTTTTTTAATAAATAGCAAGAAAAAATAATAATTACACCATCGAATACATTAGATGAGCTCCTGGATGGATTAACACTAAAATCACTCTAGCTTGTAATCTGCTGAGAAACATATTTAATATGGTAGATAGGAACTGATTGCTATTATTTTTATTACTGTAATCTTTTGTTGGTATTGATAATAGTACAACCAAACCTTATTTGTCAATGTTGTAAATTAATCAAGATATATAATTTTAATAAAAATTTATTTAATAAAAATTTAAATCATAGTATAATCAACAACAACCAAAATTCATCAATTTTTTCAATAAATAATCATTAACTCAATTAATATATTTCATAGCTGATTAATATAATTTATATCTAATTCAATAAATCCCTTAATTTAACCTATAAAAACCCTATAATTGATAACAAGCTATGAAATTTCTTCATGAATAATGAACTTGATTCTATGTATTTTATAGGCAATTAATATAATTCATACCTAATTTTATATATAATGCTGTTTTTGTTAATAAAAAAATACATCTTACATCCTGTGAAACAGTGAAAGCTAAACTGGGCCCATGGAGGGCCTGCCTGGGTCCGAAGATGGCAACTCTATCATTTCACTTTTTTTTCAATCCTGTTTCCTTATTTCACACACTACATAAAAGTTTGTAATGAAAAACTAACAACGAAGAATCAAGAAAGGAATGATTAAATGTTTATTCTATAATTAAGAGAATAATTAATCCTTGAAAAGGAAGAGTAATCAACAGAGTTCTACTTTAATCCACAAGGGAACTTACTGGTAAAACGATCAAGGGATTCTTTATTCTCTTCTTTCTTACTATTTAACAGGAAACTTGAACTCAGTTTCTGGAAACTCTATATTTTCAACGTTCTTACTATTTAACAGGAAACTTGAACTCTATATTTTCAACAAGCAGAAATAATTTCCTTTTCGAAGAAAAATCAGGATGCTAATCAAAATTAATTCCTGAGTTTTGCATTTTCTTTCTTGATTTTGATGTTATTTGGGTGCATAATTTCGTGAAAAAATGTTTATGGCTGCCTCCTAGATTGTTGGTGTCTTTTTTATCCTATGATAAAAAATATCTTCAGACCACATGTTAAAAGAGCAAAGTTCCAAGTCAAACATTGCAAAATCTAATTGAACCACGGTATTATCTACTTTTGAGTCTCCTCTTTCATTTTTTTTTTCCTTTTCTGCCTCCCTCTTTTATGAATTTAGTGGGCATTTGAAAACACAATTGTACTTGCATTTTTAAAAATTACTTTTTATTAAAAATTATTATTTTTATATATTTTTGATCGTTTTGATAAATCTAAAAAATAATTTAAAAAATAAAAAAATATTATTTTAATATATTTCATCATGAAAAATATTTTAAAAATAATTACAATTACATCCACATAAATAATTAAATAAATTAATTAAAACACAATAAAATATAAACTCGACATAAATAAATATATTTATGGTATAGATAAATAATAAATAAGATATGAATATTGCCAAATCCAATTTAACCTAAAATATATATATATATATATATATTATATAATATAATATTTAGATTTTTTTATAACATGGAGTAGACATATTTTAATATTGATACATACATATATACATATATATATATATTAATAATTTTTATTTTTTATTAATTAATAAACAACAATAGATAAAAGATATAATTAAATATTCAAAAACCGATTAATAATTTATGTATATCTAACTTTATTACTTAATAAATAATAAATAGAGTATGTATAAATAAATAAATAAATTCCACCAATGAGTACCCATCAAAATCCCTAAATTCTCATCTACCGTTATCCCTCTCTTTAAAAATTACGGGTCTATGAAATCACCATTTTAAATTGCATTTCATGGTGATCCGATACATAATAACCAAAAGTGGAAAACTAAAACAAAATATTTTGCTACGCTCCCCTCGGAGCCCATGGTAACACTACTTGCAAGCTGGAAGAAATGACGGTCGTCTATGTCGTTTTCAATGACAGGAGAAAGAAAACCATAAATAAACAAGGAACAGAAGCAGAGAAAAGCAACCTTAAAATCACGCAATCTCTGTTAAAATCACCATCCTCTCTCCTTCTGGAAACCCTGCCCCCGCTCCCTCTCTCTCTATCTTCTTCAGAGTCTTCTCTTCTGATCAAAAAATGAACCCGCACTTGAACCTTGAAGAGAACATGAAGTTGGCTTCAGTTCTTGAGCCATCAAAACCTGTAAGTTGTGCTCAAGCTTATTTGCTTTTGCTTTGACTTTTAAGCTCTGGGGTTTCTACTTTCTTGATCTTGAGTGATTTGTCTGGTTGCTGAGAAAATGTTAGGAACGGAGACAATGTTCTGATTTGTCGTATTTTTCTTTACTTTGGAGATCAAAAGGCAAAAGAATAATAAAAAAGTATTGGGGCTGAGCTAGAATTTCTCTCTGTTATGTATACGAGTGACATTATGTAGGTATAATATGTTCTTTATCATTTTGAATTTTGCAGAGTTTCTTTCCTGCAATGACAAAGATTGTCGGCACACTTGGTCCAAAATCTCGGTCTGTCGAGATAATATCTAACTGCTTGAAGGCAGGAATGTCTGGTATTGCTCCATCTAATTTTCATTTTTAAACATCCTATTATTGAAAGCTCCCCCCCCCCCGAACTCTCTTTGGTTTAGAAGAAATGAATTCATGCTATCCAGATAATTTGTTGTTAAATGGCTCAGGGGCAATTGCAGGTTTCACTTCACACTAAGAGCCACATATTGAAAGTAGACAAACTTTTGCCTATCTTTAGTCATTTATCTTCTTTGACCAAGCAGGCTATATAACTAAAGGTTGACATTCATGGCTGGGCTTATTCTTGGGGGCTGATCTGAATGATTTTTTTTTTTTTAATCTTTTGTAGTGGCTCGGTTTGATTTTTCATGGGGTGACACTGATTACCATCAAGAGACATTGGATAATCTGAAGATAGCTGTCAAGAGTACCAAGAAACTCTGTGGGGTAAGCTTATCTTTATTAGATCCAGTCTAAGCCAGACGACTACCTCATTTAGCCATCCAACGTTGATGCAAATGCATTAATGACAATTCTTGATCAAGAGGGATCGTGTTGTGGGTGAAGGCAAGAACTATCAAATGCATTTCTAAAATTTTGAAGTCTGAAAGTGCATGATAAATATAGAAAATGTATTCAAGATTTTTTGGCGCTTGATGCAGATACAGTTCTGTTGTCATTCTGAAGAATCTATTTTGATAGCTACATCTTTGTGCTTCAAGTCTTTCACCCAAGCGCATGAGATAATAAGAATTTTATCCTATTCCCTTGGTGGGTTTATACTTCTACTAATAGCCAAATCTTATGCCTTTCTTACCCTTTTATTCTTTTGGTTTTGATTTCAGGTTATGCTTGATACTGTGGGTCCAGAGTTGCAAGTGATCAATAAAAAGGAGAACCCGATTTCCCTTCAGGAAGATAGCTTTGTTGTCCTAACACCAGATCTGGACAAAGAAGCTACTTCATGTCTGCTACCCATAAATTTTACTGGGTTGTCAACGGTAAGTACCTGTTTTACATGTTGTTTAGACTGATTTTGATTTCATCTGGCATTTGCATCTATGTTTTTTAAATTTGTGCAGCTTCTCTAAAACATTGCTGCATGTGCCTTCCCCCCTTCTTCCATGAAATGTGACTTTAATTTGATATGGCCTTTGCAGGCGGTGAAAAAGGGAGACACCATTTTTATTGGTCAATATCTCTTTACAGGAAATGAAACTACTTCTGTGTGGCTAGAGGTAAGCAGCTTCATTGGGGCATGTCATGTGACCTACTTTTAATTTTAGGCGTGTCTTTCACATACCATAAGCTGTAACTTTTATTGCTAGCTGCCTACCCATTTCAATTAAAACTGTTCTTGGTACAAACAAGCCAGGGGACTTTGTATTCAAAACATAATGGCCTGCGTCAACTTCAATAAAAAAGAAGAAGAATCTGCTTAATTCAATTTCATGATGATGCAGGTCACTGAAGTCAATGGAGAAGATGTGGTTTGCTTGGTAAAGAACTCTGCTACCTTGAGTGGACTGCTATATACTTTGCATGTCTCTCAAATCCATATTAATCTGCCTACTCTCACTGATAAAGATAAAGAGGTATTTGTTTCTACTCAATCATATAATGTGTTGTTATAAAAGCTTATATTGAATCATGTTTGGTGTTAACCTTTTCCTGTTTGACTGATCTGTGCTGGCTTCCATCATTTATACTGGAAAAATGCCAACTATTTCTCCTTAGCCATTATGCTACCCCTTGGAACTAAGATTTCAGAATCATATTCTTTGTTTTTATTAATCACCAAATTGGGTGCCAACTATTTGTAGGAGTGGTGACATGCTCCCTTGGAAATTTTGTGCTTACTGCTATTCCGCTATCGTTAAGTGCTTTGATGGCATTTTCATGATCAATATCAGGTTATAAGTTCATGGGGTGTTCGAAACAACATAGACATCCTCTCACTTTCGTACACCAGGCATGCAGAAGATGTTCGTCGTGTAAGGATTTTCTATCTAAGATTTCTATTCTATTATCTCTTTTCATTGTAAAGTAAATTACTTCGACTTCTCCCCTTCTCTGGGCCCTTACAATTTTTTGCTGCATCAATATATTTCTCCCTTCCCCTTTAACATTTCAATTGTGGCCGGCCATCCTTTTATACAGGCTCGTGAATTTCTTTCTAAACTTGGGGACCTCTACCAGACTCAAATTTTTGCAAAAATTGAAAATGTAGAGGTGAGATTCATAATCCTGTTATCATATGCCATTCTTTATCATACCCGTGCTTAAATTCCATTATAGGTTCCAGATTCCTTATTTCTAATGCATTTCTTTCAGGGATTAACTCATTTTGATGAGATCCTACAAGAAGCAGATGGTGTCATCCTTTCCCGTGGAAATTTGGGGATAGATCTCCCACCTGAGAAGGTTAGTTATGAAATCTGATTGATGAGCTTGCATATGTGTAAGTTATCATAAACATGTGGAATTAAAATACACTGGTCTTAGAATTGCTTGTTAGCATGTGATAATCAAATATTAGAGTTAATAAGGATTGCATAATAGCAATATAGAGAGGATAGAAAGGAAATGGAGAAAGTGCTATGCAGCAACATTCTTTAAATTGTTACAACCATACAACATTGCTGTATCATCCATCTTTCTTTTGTAGGTTATATTTTTCGCATACATATCATACTTTAAGTGGGATAACTTCATGGCTTTTGGAGGCCATTAAAAAGGTTCAATTTCCCGTGATCCCAATCCTGGCAATGCGTACAGATATGATAACCAACTGCAGGCATTAGCATGTTGTTCCTATATGCTTTGACACCATCAGTGAACATGCATGTGCATTTAGTGCTAAGTACTAGTTGAATCTGGATATTCTACTACTACTCATAATCCAACTAGACTGTCTTGCTCTGTGAATTTCACAGGTGTTTCTGTTTCAAAAAACTGCTGTTTTTAAGTGCAATATGGCTGGAAAACCTGCTGTGGTCACTCGTGTTGTGGACAGTATGACAGAGAATTTGAGACCTACTCGTGCAGAAGCAACTGATGTTGCCAATGCAATATTGGATGGTAATTTTCCGTTTGAAAAGCTCCCTGTTGTAACCTTTGTTGCGTGTATCTTTCTGTTTTGGATAATGATGTGCTAGCTTCTTACACGAGTGAGAGTATTATTCTCCTGCTTATAGCTGTCTTGATACCCCATTCCTCCAGTTTGGTCAGTAAGTTAGATAGTATTATATGCTTCATAACTCCCAGACTAATAGAAGTGTTATACTGTGATTTTTCTGTTGCTTCAGGGAGTGATGCAATTCTTCTAGGTGCAGAGACCTTGCGAGGACTGTATCCAGTGGAGACCATCTCTACTGTTGGGAGAATTTGTGCTGAGGTAATTTTTCTCAATTATTCCTCCATTTTCCCTTGATATTTCCAAATCCATTGGACAGCGCCCCCCCCCCAACACCCCCCCCCCTCTCATGCACACACACAAAAAAGGCCAAAGAGTTTGTTGGACTATAGATAAATTTTCATCCTTTGCTTCCATGAATGTATGCCTGGTAAACTTATCTCAAATGCACACAGACCTAGACATGGACTAGGTAGCCTACTCAATAATCTGTGCTGCCTTTTCTTGGAACTGCATTGCTTCACTTCAAAATTCATTTCATAGTCATTTTCTTTTCCAATTTGTTTTGCTGATTTGATGTTATTTCCAACTGCAGGCAGAGAAGGTTTTCAATTATGATTTGTATTACAAAAGAGCTGTCAAACAAGCAGGAGATGCAATGAGCCATCTGGAATCTATTACTTCCACTGCGGTAATCTCTTAATGTTTGATTGAGGATTTTTTGCTTATTTTAAACATTCTTTGCATTACTGCCATGCAATTGTTTATTTCCCTTATTTTTACCCTTGCTATTTTCGGTTATGAAGGTCCGTGCAGCTATCAAGGTTAAAGCTTCTGTAATTTTATGCTTCACTTCCACTGGAAGAGCTGCAAGGTTTTTACTTCTTCACAATTATGTTTTGGGTCTTATGTTTGTTTAAATGCAAACGCCAATGGTCAGTAACTTGGAAGTCTATTTTGGGAGATTTATGAAATCAGATTATGTAAATGTGATTCAGATGACCCACACATTTCTTGTAGAATCTGATTAGGACTTTCTAAACTTTTGTGTACCAATGCAGGTTTATTGCAAAGTACAAGCCCATAATACCTGTGATATCTGTTGTTATCCCTCGGCTGAAGACAAATCAACTGCGTTGGACCTTTACTGGTGCTTTTGAGGTATGTTATTGTTTAGATTGGTTATATCTTCTGGTGCAGGGTATAGGTTGACTAACTCTAGCGATTTGGAAACATGTGAAAACACTGTTGTAGGGGTAGCTGCTAACAAGCATCCAACAATTTTGTCCATATAAATTTTTCATTTAAGCTCAATTAATATTAATAATCTGTTGAATGTGATATTTTCTATAGTTTTCAATAGTTTTCATGATTTTATGGCAGGCAAGGCAATCACTCATTGTGAGAGGAATTTTTCCCATGCTTGCTGATGCTCGACACCAAGTAAGCATGTGTTATGTTACATTATTGCAAGTTTCCCCTTTTGTCCGTCCCACTTTTCTTCACCCTCTTTTGAGAGCGACAGGGTGAAGGTTCTGGAATGAATTTCACTATTGATATTTGTCCTGAAGGTTAAAGGTTCCATGACCGTAATTTTTAATTTTGTGGGAAAGATATTTTATACCGATATAAAAAACGAAATTGTGTTGGGAGAATTTTTATTGATTGTGAGTTTTTCTAACATGAAAATTCACTATCTTTAAAGTGTTATTAGCCCCCACTACAATGCTATTGTTATTGGGTTTAAAGCAAATACATGTTCGGGGATTAGATACAAAAGACTCTTCTAAGAACACTCAAAGAACTTGTTTAATTTTGAGTATGAGGAGGAAAATTAGGAATGGGAAGTTGTTTTTAAACTACCAAATGACTTTTATTTAGTGTTGAGGGACCAATAACTGACATTATAACAAATGTCCTTTGGATGAAAAGACATGAATAAAACAACTCCAGAATCGAACATCTGGTTGAGGTTTCAACTGCATGTTTCAAACATGCGATTCAAGACTCAACATGAAGCCTGTTCAAAATCTTTCTTTCACAACATTCAGTGAACATGACAACAGGATGTTCTGAACATCCGGTCCACAGTGCAACATGATGTTCGAAAAGATACCTTTTCAAACTTCCATTCTTTATATTCCAGTTAATTTTTAAAATTCTTCGCACTTTAAATTCAAAATTTTTTATGCCTTGAATCCAACAAATTCCCTTGGCATTTTAGTAAAGTGCCATTAAAGGATGAGGGGCAAATACGGAGTCTAGTCATGGGAGTTTACACCATCTTTTTTTAATCATGTAGTTTTTAGCATCTTGCTACGATTACAGTGTGACTTCCTAGAGAAATAACTATAACTGGGAAATAGGAAGAGGTTATTCAAAAAGAATATCCCAATGCAATACGGGTTGTAGTTCTTTGGCACATAAGTTAGGCGATCTTGTGCCACTTGAGTTTCTACCTCTCCTTTTTCACTGGGATATTAACCCTGATTGAGAGGGGAAGGTATTATCAGAACTATTGCTTTGCTTTTATGGAATGGAAACATACTTGGTTTAACAGGCTGAGCTTTTATTTTAAGAAACGTAAATATGCTTGGTTTTGCAGGCTGAGTCTACAAATTCAACAAATGAATCGGTTCTGAAGGTTGCTTTGGATCATGGCAAGGCACATGGTTTTATAAAGCCTCATGACCGAGTTGTTGTTTGCCAAAAGCTTGGCGATGCATACGTGGTGAAGATCCTTGAGCTTGAAGATTAAGGTTATTGCGCATCTCATTTCGCTTGAAACCCGTGTTTGGCAGCTTCCGCCTTTATCGTATAAAATAAAAGAACTCGACATTTGTAAGAGTACGTAGTATATACAAGAGGTGGGGTTAGGTTCTTTCTGCTGTGGGCTGGCTAAGATCATGGACTGGCCAGCCTGTCGGAAAAGATAAACAAAAAATTCATGACATTGGTGGTCGAGTAATTGTACCCTAGGAAGGGTTATCCTTATTTTCATGGTCGGGTAAGGCGTTGTTGTGGTGCTTCGATGCCTTCAATAAATTGAGTTGATTCCCAATTTTATCTCATCTTTATTTTTTTCTTTTACTAAAAATTAAATAACATGTGAAAAAATCATGCAAAGACAAATAATGAAAAGCACACAAAATTCAGTTAATTCTCCATGCGGATTTCACAAAGACATCTTTATTAAAAATTGTACAATGTTCTTAATTGTTAGAGATTAAATAGATGATCGTTCTTGATTTAATAAAAAAATAGATAAAACAAAAAAAATATTCACTTGAGTACATTATAATTTAATCCTTGTATTTGTTTTTTGCTTTTTTGCTTTGGTAAGTTGGTCCATTTATTTTTCAAAATTGTTTAATCAAAGTTGGCCGTTGATTTTTTAAAAAAATTCTAAATTACCTCTTTGGAAGACTTAATTTTGTCTATAGTAGATAAGATTGGAAATTTTGATTATAGATAAGAATAATGTTGGTAAAAAACCAACAACAGGACCAATTAATTTAAAGAAAAGGGATTAACTAATTATTTTATTGAAAACATAGGGATCCAGTAATAATTTATCTATTTAATTCGATACTTTAATTTATTCGTACATGTTTTATTGATCCACGTTTATGTTTTAGGGTAAATTACAAAAAGCTTTTTAGAGGTGTTATAAAATTATACGAATCATTTTGACAAAAATCTTCACATTTTTCAAGTAAATATTTCAAATATTTCAAATATTTCAAGGCCAAATTTTTTCATGTGGTGATGGTTGTTTTCCACTTAAAAATATATTAAAATAATATTTTTTTTATTTTTTTTAAAATTATTTTTAATATTAATATATCAAAATGATATAAAAACATTAAAAAAATATTAATTTAAAATAACAAAAAAATTTAATTTTTTTAAAAATATAAAAATAAACGAATTAACGTGGAAGGTTAAGGCTTAGAAATCAGTTATAGTTTCTTTCTGTTGTTCCCTTTCATTCTTGGCGGAGACCATAGAACAAAGTTTTTCTATTTCTTTCTTTACATGCCAGGATTGAATTTTAGGGTTGAGTATATTAAACTAGAGACCAATGATGGAACTGTATCCCTACATTTTGTGCATCAGCAGATTCTGAAAAGTGGTGCTATAGTTTTTGTAGAGCCTATTTTGTTTATGTCAATTTGAATCTATTTGCTCTCTGCAAAATATAGGGATGGGCGTCCTGCAGAGCAGCTGGAGTTGTGTTGGCTTGATGTAAGTGGTGAAACGCGTGTAACCAAAGGGAAGACGTATGGAGTTAGCTTCATGTTATCCATGAACACGGAGAATTCCTTTGGCTGGGACGTTCCTGTTTTTTGGATGGCTAGGACAGGGCAGGAAGGAAAGTATCAGCGCGTACAAATAGATCTATCAGAATTAGGCGGGGAAGTAGACGAATTTCCTCCGAAGAGGTGTCGGATTTAGTTTGAAAGTGATTAAAAAATCTGAAAATAACGAGGAATTTCCTGCGAAGAAGAGTCAGACTAAGTCTAAAAAAATAATGAGGAAACGCTCTAATTTGGCTTGAATGAAGTGTGGGCTAACGACTGGAAGGGTGGTCTACGGATTCATGAGGCCATATATAGTTCAGGAAAGAACAGCTGGGAATTATGCTTCTACATCTATTACCCGTTCCGACGAGTCCAGAGGGAAAGAAATAGCAGCTGACGATTCTACTTCAACATCTGAAAAACCTCCGATCGAGTCCGAAGTTAAATAAGCAT